GGAGATGGCTATATGTGCGTGCTCATATACAATCGAGGCTGTGCTCGTTCGCGTGGGCATCGGTATCGTTTTACATATATCTGGGACATGGTTCTCCTGAGAGAAAGCCAACCTTATTTTCCGGAACACTTTCCGAAACCTACAGGAACAGATTGGAAGATTTGAAGTGCAAGGATCTGATGCAACTAACTAATTGAGGACTGCTCTCGACAATATCACATTACCCGCGCGCCCACTGCACTCATATCCAGTTATCTGACTGATATCGAATCATATTTTGCCTTCTTCACTTCCATAACCACCACATAAAGTACCTATTGCCTTTGCAGGCCTCGAGACGCCAAAATACCCTACGATTACATTACAGAGTCGTTATTCGCAATTGAACCAGGAAACGTCATAGCTCAGTCATTGACTCTGGCCCCACCATACGTAACGCCAATATCGCTGTCTACGTCCACTTCCTTCAATTACTTGTTGATACGGACAGGGCGCTGGTAAAGTACAATTGGTGGTTATGCGGGGAGTATTGGCATTCCTAGCTAAGGGACTACTTGGCAATACAAAAGGGAGGGTGCTGTGCATATAGGAGGAGATACATATGATAAAGCCTGATCTCCCGCAGAGGCTTGGAATACATATGTGGTATCTGTGGGTTGAACGTCTGTACCTACTCTCCATGCAGGCAGGTGCTTTATAAGCCAAGAAGCAGATAGAGTGCAGTAGTTGTGCCCAAGAGGCTGGGTATAGTTCCGGCCTGAAAGTAGGCGTTTGACTGGCTGAATAAACGATGAAGCTAGCAGTGGTAGGTGATGAGTGATCAAGAGAAAAAGCCACCAAAATCTCCACAGATATCGGAAAATATCAAGACGGCAGGGGAGTATTGCCAACGCCTTCAAGGTCCAACAAAAAGCCCAAGATTGGTAGGATACACGTATGTAACGACGCACTTATCACTTGGCGGCCAAGTAAAAGCAGACCCCTCTTAAGCCCAACGGAATAATGCCAATTGTCGTGGCAAGATATTTTGTTTTGCCAAGTCCCAAACCGGACGAACCTGCCAAATATCTAATAGTTGACTGGTTCTATGAAATTGCGCATCATCTCCAAGACCGAAATCTGAGCGTTTGTAAGGCATCCCGAAGAGAAACAATCTGTGCAGAGTATGTATGCCTTGGGGTGCCCATACCCCCCCTCTCAGGATATCAACTAACCCTCTTGGGCAAATTCCATGCTGAGACTAGATTTTCTATTGTTCCTATCATTGACCGGTGCTAAGTTACTAGTGTATTCAATCATTTCCTTCGTATGCGAAATCTCGGCAGCAAGCTACTTCGCCTCGCCTAAGGGCGATATCCGTAATTCGTAATCTCTCTCCCCTATTGTCGATATAATTCCGGAGGGGTCTCCGCCTTATGTAATAACATTAAAATCCTCACAGACCTTGTATCATATCATACACTATCACTCGTCGTTATGTAAGCCGCCCGTGCTAATAATAAGGCCGCGACGTAAAACAAACCCATAAGGTGAAAAGAAAAAAACTTAAGATACAGGTATCATGTTTAAATAGGCCACTTATCGCGGATCCACATCCCTAGTTTGTTCGGGTGAAACACTTTGGGTGATGTTGATCGTCATCCTGCTAAACTGGGGCTAGCTGTCAATGGAAGCTTGGACGACGCGTCATCCCGAGTCCCGAGAACGAGAAGTAAGAAAAAATGTACGAAGACAACAAAACGACGAGGCTGCGCAATTGACACTGTTATACCGTAATCCAGTAGTCCCGTTTTCATTTGCTTGATCGTGGACGCTTGTAGCGGTTATTCTAATGAGAATTTCTACGCCAGCGCGTTTATTAGCAGGACCGATATTCGGGTTCCCCTGATTTACGGAGCTAGTTCCGGGAGCAGATCATCGATGATCACTCATATTCGTCCTGTAATGGTTGCGGTGGAAGCAGCCATCCCCTGTTTGTTGCATACAATTGATGTAGTAGTTGTAGATACCACAACCCCTTTGAGTGAGCTTCACGGCGGCTACCTAATTAGCCGTATGGTCTCTCGAGGACCCTCGACCGGAACAGATATATCAAGTGCCGTATTGTTCTCCTATGATTAGAATTGGGATATAGATATCAGCTTACCTGTTCTGTCCTTGGGGAACATTACATGCCCCGAGAGAGTGTCGGGAAGTACCCGTGGCCTCCTTTTAGCAGTATCCGAAGCCATATATAGGGGGGCTGTTGTACAGGGTTGAATATAAACATAAACATTCTCCCCATTTGAAAGGTCTTTAATGTATGTATATAATGATATTTAGACACTAAAGACACGCGACATCGCCCATCGTACTATATCTCATACCATCATAACATCTCACATCATCGCTTCTCGTAAAATATCTCTTCCTCCCCGATACAGTATCACCTCTCTAGACTTGAAGATTGACCCCCTGATATGTTCAAAATACGAGTGATCTATCATGATCTAAATATAATTTAAGACCCCGCTGTCTTAACCTGCCGTAGGAAGTTGGTAGTGAGAAGATAAACAAAAGATTTTAAGCGTTTAATGTAGCCCTTTGGATTCGACCCATCATCATCCCCTGTCAGTACAGTTGATCACTGCAACTGCAAGAAAGCTGAAAATCTCATGCCACATTGCCTCCGCGGAGAAAGGGAAGGGTATGTGTTGTTCAAGAAAAATTGCCAGTGGTATAGCGAGGAGATCGATGGGTACGGCTGAGATGTAGTTGGTGCTAGTCCGGTGAGAAAGGCAATATCGTTGCTGGCAGACACTTCACGATCCCCGCGAGCACGTTGGTGTTAGCGAGGTGAGGAAATAGCTGAGGGTACAATGAAGGCGGGGGGACGGGTAATATTAAGAAGAAGGAAAGAAATTAAAAGAGAGAAAGGGAAGGACACGGCCGATGAAGTAGGAGGCCAACAACTGCAGCTGGAGTGGTGAAGTGGGCTACATCTCTATCGCAAAACCCTAACCCAATATCTGACACCCGCGCACATCATATCATTGAATGGAGTCAAACTACGATAAAGGGTCAACAAAGAAGCTAAAGTTGTCTAAGCCGTGATTATGTGGCTAAAAAGGTCAATTTTACCCCCAATTAATTAATAAGGTAGGAGACGATAGGTTGGGAAAATAAATTTGGAGAGTTTCTTAGGTGGTAACCCTTCAAGGCATTTCTAGTGGTAGAGTTTTTCTATTTTCACTGCAGAAGATCAGTTTCCGCACTTACATGTCCTTATGTATGTATGTATCACCGTAGAAGGCGGAATCTAATGTATGTTTAAGAACGATTAGAGGTTTCTCCATAAGTCAGGATCTCATCTGCAGATCAAGTAGGTGAGCTTTATTCCACAACTGGCAAAGGATACCAGGTTTTATACAACAGCGACTACAGAGATCTTTAGCCTTCGACCACCCTTATTTTTTTCAACAGAAAAGGTCTAAAATGACACAGTTTTCGGTAGAAGTGCCCCACAATAGCACATGATGGAAATATCTGTAGTTCGCTATGATCTAAAATGAATATTATAGATGGCTGAGCGTTGATATTGAAGGGTTAGGGATTCTGCTTCATCTTGGCACACTGCCAAGCTCGAATATCACTTCCAGCGCAGCATCCACCATGGGCGAGTGGTCTAGTGGTTACTAGGCTGCTCGTCGGGTTAGACACCGAGTGTTTGTACTCAGGACGACGGAAGGTCCTGGGTTCGAGCCAGGGGTGGGAGTAGTAGCTGGATTTAATCCCCGGCTGCAGTACTTTTTGTTCTTTTTTTATTTTTTTGTAGTTAAATGAATTAGGAGGCCATTTTGATTTTGATTTCCAAGAGGAGGAAGGGGTAAGTGGCGGGGCTGGGAACTGATCCTTATTACTTACTGGCTTTTCCCGCTGTCTTTGTCACTTGTGCTCTCGGCGTGAGGTCGAAGACTTTCTGTTCGGATCATAGCAAACTGTGTCATTTTGCATCATGTGTTACTGCAGCGCACGTAAACCGATTTCAACACTATCATTTAAACCTTTCCAAAAGACCCGAACCTTCCAAAGCCCAGAAACAACCACCCTGTGCCTAACATCACGAGCTGTCTAGATAACTATTAGGCAACACGCCCACATATTTTCTTGGTTGGAGGTGATATTCGAACGCCAACGCCAACGCCAACCTAGGTAGAGACATTGAAACCATTTAAAGCGGACCTGGCCTCGAGCCCGTGGTAGTAGGTGTCGAAGGGAAATTGTCAAAAAGAGCGAGTGTCGATCAAGAGTACGGCCATCAATGTCAAACTTAAAGGGAGATCCCAAATTCCGCAACTGGTACTTCAGTTCTGCGAGCCACTATTTACCCTTGGCGACCATATGAGCGATGTAATATCTCACGGTGACATACCAGTGCGTTCCAGCCAGAAACACAAACTCAAGTCACACTTCACAAAGTCCGAGTGATATCATATGACGCAACCCACCCCCAACAGCCTCTCTCCTCTACCACAGCACCCGCATCACATCACAGCCCCCCACAACACACCTACTCACTCACGCACACGCACACCGAGGATAAACAAACTGGATGGATGGATAGATGGACGAATGATGCGATTGTTATCATACAGCACAACCACGACCAACTAATCCGCACTAAGACTATATGCAATATCGCATCACACAGAGGCGTAGCTAAAAAGCTAAAAATCCAAGATAGAAGAAGAGAGAAGAAGAAGAAGAAGAAGAAGAAAGTATACATCCATCCCACGCATCACACTTTCAAAGCCACACACACATACGAGAAAAAAAAGCCCATATTCCTTCCAAAAAATATCCATTCACAAAAATACGTGGGAGAAGAGGAGAGAAGAGACAGAGAGCTCTGCTCAAACTACATGAAACACATTATAACTCCCCTCGCTCCTCTCTGAATCCCCGAGAAAAAAGAAAGAAAAGCGTAAAAGAAGAAGAGAAAAAAAAGAGTTAGTTCTACTTCACTTCCTTAAAAACATAGCCTTAAAATCCGCATTGCTCTTCGCCGGCTTCCCGGGGTCCCCGCCATCCCCCATCTCCGTGTCCCCACCTCCACCCTCACTCTTCCCATCTGGCGCCTTCGGCCTCGCTATCGACCCGAGAACCCCAGCCCGCCTCTCCTCTTCTGCCCCCTCGCCGGCGGCACACCACGGATAACACTTGTAGGCGCCGCGAAGAACGCCGGCTTACCACTACCACTATTACCATCCGCCTCTTTCTTCGCCGCCGGTGCAAAACCCTTCGTCTTCTTCACCTCCGGCTTCTGCTTCATCAGATCCGGCAGACTCCCAATACTGATTCTCCTCCCCGCGAGCTCACTACCATCGAGCGCAAGCGTCGCCTTACCGGCATCAGCCACCGAGTTGTATTCCACGATAGCGCCCTGGTGGTCCGGGCGGAGCGTGACCTTGCGGAGGGGCCCAAACTTCTCAAACAGCTCGCGGATCTTGAAGTCGTTGACGGTGTCGGCGACGTTCATGATGCCGAGTGTCTTTTTCTTGATGTCGTCGAATGACGGTGGGGGGGAGCCGGGCCCTGAGGCGGCGGCGGCGGCGGGTGAGGGTGTGTCCATGTTGTGGTCGCCGTTTGCTTCACTGCAGGGCGTGCTCCCGCGGGTGGAGGACTCGACTGCGTTGCCGGGTCTGTGCTTACCAGGGTTGGCGGAGGCGATGGTGACATCGAGGGGGCGGCCCTTGAGCAGGAATCCGTTTAGAGCTACGGCTTCATCTGCTTGTTCCTATTGATGATGTGAGTACGCGGCTTGGTAAAACAAGTATATGGGGCAAATTACCCTAGTGCCATAAGACACAAACCCAAAGCCCTTATGCGACCCTTTTCTGGGCCCCTGCGGCATCCGGACCTTCTCAACCTTTCCATATCTCGTAAACAGCTCCTCGAGGTCCTTCTCATTGGCCTTAAAGTCGATGTTCCGAATAAATAGCTCGCGGCCCTCATGCCTACATCAACCACCCAGTCAAATCAGCACCAATCACACACCTCACCAGTTGCAAAAAGAAAGAAGAAAAACAGGGAAGATCATACACTGCACCCGACCGCGACACCTTCTGATTCGGCGCCGATATCTTCGCTACCAATGTCTCCTTCTCACCCAGCTGCTTCCCATTCAACTCCGTCGCCTTCTGCGCCTGCTCGGACGACACAAACTGGACGTAGCAGAAGCGTCGATGGGTATTGTATTTCAGACTCGGGAAGCGTACATCAACAATCTCACCAATCTAAAGAGGCCCAATAATCAGCTCAACCTGCCCCGGGGGGGGGGGGGGGGGTGGGGAGAAGGAGAAAGAAGGAAAGTGAAGGAAAGAAAAGAAAACTTACACCCTTAAATAAGTCTCTTATATAGGCCTCGTCAGCAGAGGGCGGGAAGTTCGTGACATATAGCGTCGATCCTGTCCCGATCTGGACCTCAATCGCGCGTCCCTCAACACTCTTCCCGTCCTTTGTCTGCGCTGCAAGAACGTCCTCCTTGGTATCAAACTCGACTGTCGCGGTTGCAGACCGTCCATCCTTCTCGGTAATTATGTTGATACTATTGATCGTACCACACTGTTGAAAGAAAGTCAGTACCCTCTTCAAGAAGAAAAAAAAACGAGGGAATAGGGACGAAAAAATCCATCCCATCCTATCACCAATAACTAACCTCTCTAAAAAACTGCCGCACTTTCACTTCCGGATACCCCGCCGGCAAGTTTTTCACAATGACTGTGGTGTTCTCGCGGTCACGTTTAGCCACAGACGCTGCGGATGGGAGCGCAGGCGCAAGTGGCATGTCCTTGATGAAGACTTCCGGTTTGGGCTTCTTGCTTTGCTGGGCGTCATCAGCCTCGAGAATACTTCTCCGCCGCTTCAATGTCCCCCGGGCTTCTTCCTCGGGTTGTGCCGCATCAGCTTCCTGCTCTTGCTGCTGTTGCTGCTCTTGATACTGCACTTGTTGATAGGCCGCTGCTTCTTGTGCTTCCTGTTATTGCAGTTACAGTCAGTATTATTTCCATTATATAATGACCTAGCCCGGGAAAGAATATTACCCTAGCCCGTCTCTCCTGGATGTCCATGGACAGTTTCCTGTATCGTATAGTAGCCCATTCAACGTCTTGCACGTTTCCGTAGTCCTCTACATGGTTCCTGTACGTCTCCAAGATCTTCTCCGGCCAATCAATCGTCTTGACCCTAAGCGCCTGCTTCAGCACATCCCCTGCAGTCTCCTTCTCCCCATGCGTCAGCTCCCACTGATAGTATCGCAGCCAGAACTCATACGAATTCGCCTGCGGGCCCGCGAGCTCCGTCCATATGCTCCTCGCGCCTTGGAGCTTATTCGCCAGCGTGCAAAAGTTGATATGGATGCGCTGCAAGCGGTACTCCGGGTCCTCCTTCCCGGTCTCCGTCACCGCCTCCGAGATGCCCATTTCCGCCATATCAAAATCATCCTCGCTCGCGTCCTGCTCGAACGCGCGGCGCTTCAAGAACCCGCACCAGGCAATGTTGACCTTGAGCACCTCCTCGAGGCCCCCGAGGTCCAGCATCCCGGTCTTTGTCGCCCTGTGCTTCACGTCCGACACAACATCGAACGGCTGCGCGCCCTTCTCCAGCGCAATGATGTACTGCGCCCACAGCGTCCCTGACCACGGACAATGCCTCGTCGCCCGCGTGAGCACCGAGATGGTGCGTGAGCTCGTGTTAACCTTCTCCAGCACAAAGAAGACATACGCCTCCCAGACCCTCGCCTGGTCGCCAAAGCGCAGCAGGCAGCGCTCGTACAGCGTGCACGCCATCTCGTGGTCCAGCTTCTTGTTGGGCTGGCTCGTCTCCCACTTGAGGTACTCTTCCCAGATGTTCCACTCCTCCGCAATGTTGTCCCGCTCGCGCTTCAGGCGCAGCTCAAACATCTCGCGCTGCGAGTACTTTTCGAGCGCGGCGGCGTAGATCTTGTTGGTGGAGACCATGATGGACTCGTAGTTTGCGTTGTTGTAGCGGGTTGTGAAGCTGCTAAAGGCGCTGAAGGTGTCGCTGATCGTTGCGTGGGGGACCTGGAGACGGGCTTGGTAGAGGCTTCGAATGTACTCTAGTTTTGTAGAACTGTGTAGTGTTAGCTATTGAAGTATGTATCAAATAATAACGGATTGAGCCCTACCTTGGGTCAGCCTCAAGATCCTTCATGAGAAGATCGCGGTATCTATCCCATATCAAATTGCTCTACAAAAACCATCAGCCCAGCCCCCAATACACGGGCATCAAATATAAAAGAAAAGTAGAAACTCACACCCGAGATGACATGCATCGTAGCCTGAGCCCCCAACTTATAAGTCTCCATGACCAACTCCATCGTAAAAAGATCCCTTATGACCTCCTCCGCCTGGTTCGCAAACCCGGTCCTCCTCTTCTTCCTCGTCTCCGAATACTGCACCTCCAAGAACTGCGCATACGTCCTCCACAGCGCCACGCTCGCATTCTCCTCCTCCACGGCCCTCGCGCACAGCTCCATCACAACCATCACCTCCTCCGCGCTCCTCGCAATCGACGACTCGTCCGCAATCCACTCCAGCCACATGGACTCCTTGAGTGGGAAGCGCTCCAGCATCTCCTGCCGGCCCTTGCGCAGGTCCTCCAGGAACGGATACGGGCCCTCACTCCCAGCCTGCTGGTGCGCGAGAAACCCGCGGTGCAGCAGCCCAATGTACTCGACGTGGGACTCGTACTGGTACGGCCTATCGGTGATGAATTCGAGCAGCGCCGGGATCCGCTGGTAGTCGGCCTCCGACAGCGGCTCTACTGCGGCCGCCGGCGTTGCGTTCTCGCCCTCGTCGTCTAACGCCATTAGCCCGTCGTCGTCGGGCCCGCTGTCGCGGTCGTCGCCCTCCATACGGACGTCCATGGCGGCGGCTGGGGGGTCCTCGTCCATTGCGGTGTTTGTGTCGGGGGATGGGATGTGGTGGTGGTGGTGGTGGTGGTGGTGGTGGTGGGGCGGCGCGGAGGAGGGGATGCGGGCGATGAAGTGGGCGACGCCCGTTCTTCTCGCGGGGGAGCCTCGGGAGTTTGTGTGGTGCGGCGGCGGCGGCGCCGAGAGGCCTGTTGGCGTTGCTACTGACGACGTCGATGATGATGATGGGGGGTTTGTGTTTGAAGAAGAAGAAGCGTCGAGGTAGGATGGGCGTGAAGGGCGCGGGGATGCCGACGACGAGTTGACATTTGTGGCGGGGGGGGAGGAGTCCTCGGAGGGGGAGAGGAGAGAGCTGATATCCATCGTTTCACGGCGGTGTGTTTGGCTGGCACTGTTACTACCACTATCACTGTCACTGTCACTGTCACTGTGACCTCACGGGGATGCGTGTGGTGTGTGTGTGTGATGTGTGTGTTTATGCGTGTGTGTGTGGATGGTTATGTAGAATGCCTGGAATTGGAAAAAAACCCGATCAAGTGGGTTGGGTTGGTGGTGATGTAGTGATTGGTAAGGCCGTCAATCAATCAATCAATCAATACTGGGGCAGCCTTGTCCCTCTTCTGTATCCTTCCTTCTGTGCCTTTACTCTCCTTCTTCTTTATCTTTTTTTATTTCTCTAGGGAAGAGAAATGGATGAAGAGATAGTTATAGAGAAACGAAAGGAAAAAAAAATTATCCCAGGCAATCAATCAATGAATGAACGTGTGTGGTGGGAAGGAGTGTAGTGGTGGTGGTGGTGGTGATGGTGGGAACGGTAGAACGGTAGCAGCAGCGGTGGGTGTCCCAGAGACGGGAGTGAGTATATGTCTGTCCGTCTGTCTGTCCGTCTGTCCGTCTGTCGGTACCTATATCTGATCTGTACCTGTGTGTCTGGCAAGTGTGGATGTCAGTATGTATGTAGGGGGGCAGAACAGAAAACAGGAACAGGAACAGGAACAGACAGGCAGGGTTACAATATGTCGTGAGGGATTGAAAACAGAAAGAGGTAAAGGAAGAATGAAGGACCGGGCTGGTGGAACGATTGGAGACACAACCATACACCACGGGCAGCGAACCAATCGCTGCGGACACGAACTGACACACACACACACGCTCTCTCTCTCTCTCGCACTCGCACCCAACATACACTCACACTCTGCACACACACTATCACACGAACGCACAACTCGCACTCACTCACTCGCTGTTACTCACTCAGACTCGAGAGAAGGCTGTCGTGTAATTATTTAAAGAGCACCCCCCAGCGTCAATTCAATTGCTACTCTACACTGCTGGTAGGCATAGAGGAAGAGTTAGGAACATGAAGGGCCCAAGATAGGCAATGGGCGAACCACTCGATCACACTCTTCCGATTAACGATTACAGATCTTCCAACCCAAGTTCGCACCCCCCCAGTAACTAGGCATGTCTCATGGAGGTTTCTCTCTTTCCTCTGGCAGGCAATCATATCATATCGCATTTGTTCCCGACCCATGCAAGCCAAGAAATCGAAGCAGAACTTAAGCCCCATGCCCATCGCAGAATTAATATGGAGAAACAGGGAAAAAATCAAATTCCCGTCCTTTCTTTCTCGTTCCCCATGATAAAAATAATAATAAACCTCAAGATCCGAAATTAAAAGCCTGGCATAGTGTAAGTACATAGACAGGCAGACAGGCAGGTACCGTACGGTACGGTACACACACATGTAATTGTGCATACACATAGTACGGGAGCTGGCTGGGATGGAAGGAAACGCACCGCAGAGCCCCGTCCTTTTTACATAACGTGGTGCAATTGCCGTCATACATCGTGACCTCAGTTGAATTACTTGATAATTGCGAACAACCAACAGTCGAGCTAGTGGAAAAAAAAACTCTCCTAATTCTCACAACCCACAGTTAGATATCCACAGAAAGAGGATGTTGTTGCAAACGTCCCACCCCCCCTTCCTTCCCAATCCAATTGCTCCAATTACGCGTCCCATAGGTACGGGTCTCACCGTCCGGACCTGTCTGTCTGTCTGTCTTCTGCTCTGTCGGGATAAGACCTCGTGATGTCTCTTTGTCTGCATTTTTCCATCTCTCTCCATTTCCAATTCTTCTTCTGTACGTCCCGACGGGGGTGGAAGGGGGAGGGTGGGTAGGGAACAATCTGAATAATCTAAACAATCGCCGCCATATGCATACAGTAAACATTTATTTTTAAAATTACATTTTTGCTCCCTGCCCGCCGCATATTTCGCCCAACAAAAAAAAAAAAAAAAACATCCGCCCCGGCCCCTAGCGAGAGAGTACAGTACCGAACCGCAACTTCTGCACACCGCCGGCAAAAACAAAAGAATCAAGATCACCACCGGGATACGCTAGTATTGGGCGGTGGGGAGTGGGGGATGGGGCGATGGGGCAATGGGGGATGGGGGATGACAGATGGGGGAGCAAACACAAAACTAACAGCTCTGCCCGGAGAAATCACCAGAATCGGTTGCGCGGCGTTCGGTACCTGAATGTTAACTCGGTCGGTCGGTCGGGGAATGGGTGGAGAGGGGGGGACCAGCACGGATTATAATTTTAGAGGAGGGTGCTGATCGGCGGTCACATTCTTTTTTTTTATATTATTATTTCTGGACGGGAGGGAGAAGGGAAGAGAAGGGAACCGGGACGGAGATGTGGGAATTGATTGACTGATACTGTTTAAGTTGACTGAAGTCTGACTGACTGACTGACTTGACGGCTAGCCTTGCCCCACTGCCGTTCCCCAACGTCATCATTTAACTCTATCTCCATAGGTAGCTGCCCAATCCACCTGCTCCCTAACATACATGTAGGTACTTTAGCTAAGCTATCACACCTTATCTCAATCTTACCCATATCTCTATATCTCTCTCTTCCTCCCCCCATCTTCTCACTCTCACCCAAACTGACCTCGCCCACCCACCGCACCCTCCGGAGCCGAATCCCACCGACCAGGTCTCCGGTCCGCAACCTCCGATCCCACTCCTTCTCACCGCATCCCCTCCATCGCCGTCCACTCTCACGCGTATGTACCCCCCCGGACCGGGAAGCCCCACTCCGCTCTCTAACATTGTCATGTTGGGAGGGGGGCTGACAGGGGGGGGGGGGTTATTTATTTTACGTCCGTGCTTAAGATGCTTTGGGTGGGTGTTATTGTTAGCTGTTAACAGGTTCGCTGCAATGGGGTTCTCTCCGGGTGTTAGAGGAGTGGTGAATAGTGAGCGGTATAGTAGTATAGTAGTGGTAAGTAATATAGTAGTAGACGTGCAGTAGTAGTAGCAGTAGTAGCAGTGCAGTAATAGTAGGAAGAGCTCTATGTGGTTACTGTTTGCTACTAACATATAGCCGGTAGTCGCCCGCAGTACTAATCCACCAGCGCTAAGCCGCAACACCGAGTGACATCCCATGAGGATCACCTAATATGCAGCACCCACCACCACCACCACCACCACCACCACCACCATAATTTCATCACTCGCAATCACCCACAACCACCGGCCGATATGATACGATACGCGGCTACACCGCACCCCCGACCCCCGATACGATCCACAATCTCATCCCCAATGCATCACCATCTGCCCAACCAAACCCCCGGGACCTCCGCAACTAACCGAGGACCGATCGAATCGAGCATTAAGCCCAAAGCCATGGTGAATGATCATGATCACTCATATACATATACCGCCAAAACTCGAAAAATTGGCTACCTCCGGCCAGGGATTATCGCTCGAGTGATTGGTTGAATGGCATCGATCTGCATCAGAAGTTTCCCACACAAGTAATTTTGATCTCTGGAAGCTAGCCAATTTTTCGAGTTATGGCGGTATGAGCTCAAGCCAGTTTTCATCATGATGAGCCAGCAGCTAATTTACCAACGTACGGGAAAGACCAACCGGGCCATCATCGCGGCCGGAATATCCGCGTCCACAGAAAATACCCAAAGCTTACATGAAACACCGGAGGGCCTTAGCTGGCAGAAAAAAGTGCCTAACGCACGTACACATGTGTGACAACAATTAAGAAAACCTCTATAATCGGACTGCAACCGGGAATTCCCGGGCGGATGGCTTATTTACTAAGCTACATAAGAAACATTGACAAGGGAAAAGTAATTACCCATGACCAGGAAGAACCTATCTAGCTAGCCAGCTCTATGTACTCTATGATCGGACTTATGAAAAGGACTCGAAGACAAGGCAAGAAAGGAAAGGAAAGGAAAGGAAAAAAATCCGCACCAGCCGCTTCCCAAGAGAAAAGAAAAGCAAGAAAGAGCCAAAAAACCACCCCAACAATTGCAACCCCGCCTAACTACCTCACCATCCGATAGCAAAAGAAAAATAAAAAACAAAAAAAACTCCACTATCAGGAACTATCAGGAACTATCAGGAACTATCAGGAACTATCCAGGCACTATCAGGCACTATCACACCCCCCCCCCCACCTCTCCTCATGAGCTCTCCCTCTCCCTCGCTACCAACCCCCTATCCCCCACCCCCAACCTCTCCACATCCACTACAACCTCCACCCCATCCCTCCTCCTAATCCTCACCGCCGCGCCGTCCTCCTCCCCCCCCAGAAACAGCGCCACAGTCCTCCACTCCCCTGTCACGTCCGTCCACGTCCGCCAGCTCGCCAGATCACTAGTATCGTAGGCGGCGTCGCCAGCGTCGGCTTCGGGATCGCGGCTGGACGAGTCTGAGACGGCGCCGACGTTGCCGACAGACTCGGCGGCGAAGGCGGCGTCGAGAGCTGGGAGGAGTGTCCGCATATACTAAAAGTTATAGCAAGGTGTGTTAGTATATGAGGTTAGAGGTAGGGGATGGGGACTTACTCGGCCGTCGTGGGGGGAACGGGTGGGCTTGGATTCGGGTTTGGGCTCGGTGTCGGATTCTGATTCGGGCTCCGAGTCAGAGGGCTTTTCGAGCAGCTCTATTGGCCAGGGGGTTTTCTCGTATATGGTTGTGTTGATGGTCATTGTGTAGTTGGGGTTGTTGTTTGTTTCTTTGTTGTTTGTAGGCTATATTATATATATCGAGCTGCGTATTGTATGTAGCTTTAGCTAGTAGGTAGGTAGGTAGGTAGCTGGTACTCGGTAAATAAGCTGTATCACTTGGGTGTATTGTTTTGTTCTGTAGAGATGTAGGTGTGGTATGGAGACCCGGTATTGAAGATATAGAAATGCGAAGCTAGCTAGGCAAGTAAGGAGGAAAGCTCGATTGAGGCAAGTGATTTTTAATTTATGGTCATTCTCCGAAGGTAAAGCCAGAGAGCCCGTGGGCACTTAAATACAGACAGATGGATGGATCATGTGCAGTGTCCCTGAAATTTTATATCACTTACCTCCCACCGAAAATCATACGTCAATTACATGTGGAAACAAGACTGGTTGATACCTGGAACCTTTCGCCTGTACGACGTTCGATAAGGATAAAGGTCATGCACGTCGCAACGGCTCACTGGGTTTTGTTTGGACGACAACAGCGAATCACAGGGGATCTACAACTTTAGTACTTGGAGTGGCGAACTACATCATGTTACTGGGCCACGATAATGACGTCTCCATGGCCCGAGAAGGAAAAACCGCACAAAGTTGTCTCCAGCTGCTGAAGGTAAAGGAGAGCGTATTCGATTCGGGGTTTGCCATTTGGTATGATCTATCTACCCACCGTATGTAAGGGGAAAAAAGCCACTCGCTTGCTCAGCCGCCTCGCAAGAAAAGACTGACAAATAACGCCTAGAGTGGTTCTATCCTACTTTATTGAGAACTCCAAACACGCTGAGCGATCGCGAGGGAATATTCGCACTCCACATATTCTAATTCACCAATAGATATTGAAACCTCCTCAATCCAGCTTACTACAGTTAAGAGTCAGTGGAAATATCCGCGTTGAATTCTTCAACCAGAAAGCGTTTAGTGAAGTCGACAATCTGTTTATAGTTTTTCTCGAAACCGGACTGGCCGCCGTAGTAAGGGTCCTCCACCTGTTCGTCCTTGCGGGAGCCATAGTGCCCGAAGAGCCTCACTATTTAAAACAGTCAGCAACAAGCCTTGATGCTTGGCAAAGTAAATGAACAATGTTGGAATCGAACCTTTAGCGGTGCTATCCTTAGGCTTAACACGATTAATATCACGAAGATTGGAGTTCTAGAGAAGACCAGTTTAGCGACCTAGATACTGTATGTAACCCAGCAGTTTCAAAAGAGGGTTGTGGCTTACATCCATAGCAAGGATGTAATCGAAGTTCTTAAAATCGCTCGTCTGTAGCTGACGAGCAAGATGGTCCAAGCGAATGGAGTTCTTAGCGAGGATCTGAAGAGTTCCTAGGTAGAGCATTTGAATTCATCAATATCAGGGATACACGAGGATAATATGTTGGGAAGGTCATTACGAGGGTCCGCGTGTTCCCCAGAATGATAAGCCGCAGTCCCACAGCTGTCGATCTTGCGGAATTTTGCGGCGTAACCAGCATTGTTGACAGTCCTACGGAAAGCACCTTCGGCCATAGGGGAGCCTACATAAAGTTTTAGATTGTGAACTTGCTCGGGCCGATAACGAGGGCTTGAGTCTTACGGCAAATATTTCCGAGACATACGAATAGGACCGAGACAGCATCGGGGTCGGCACTGTCGGCCATATCGACGTCGGCGTACGGAGATGTAGGTCTGGTCGGAACTGGAGACATGATTGGTTGGTTACGGTGCACGATTCCAAAGCTTTGTAAATGGAAGGAATACTGGAAGGGCAACAATTAGGAGAGGCTTAAAGGATGGATCGAGTTCAGGGTCTAAGTGGGGTGACGCGGGGTATTTCACCTTCTAGAAACGTGGGCTTTTAGGTGTGGCGCTAGACATGATAATGAGACCTGTCCTGATTTATTGGCGAGTGTCCTCTACAAGTCTCTAGAGTATATCTTTATTTGACCGTTATCATCACCAGTAACATTTAATTGAGTTTTTTCAACACCTGCAGTTTTACCACTTGAAGGTCCAGCATCCAGCATCACCTACATATACGAGTGAGAGCTTGTGTTGCTCTTCCTCGATCCTCTAACCCGAGAGGGTGGATTAACCTACAAACCTCCACTCTTGGCTTAGGTAGCGGACCCTGATTGGCACGTTGACTATACCCACTTTAATAAACCAAACTAAGAGCGGTTCTTTTTACTATTCGACATATAAAGCATACACTAATTGAGTGTATTTAACCGCCAGCCCTCAGTAATCGGTCGGTAGAGATATTTATGAAATGATCCATGATACGCGCTCGCAGACAGGTGCATAACGAATAGAAATGCATATCTGTGATCTAACAGGCGCCCTGGGCTGAATTAAGAGCCCAAGGCTCACTTATGGATGCATGAAACATAGCTCTGGTTGGTGCTTGGGCTGTTGAATTTCTCATCCATGGCTCACTGCAGAAAAATAAGCTTATCCAGGTAGAAAGAGGGAGGGCGAGCTAGCTAAACATCGTCCAGCTGATTAAGGTATCCAATGCGCGGCTGGCACAGGCCTACGATATATCGATAGGTAGCGGTAAGCTCATCTGCTCAATTTTGGGGGGAGTGTTTGCTACTTATGTACCTACGGATTGTAGCCTTTGTGTGCAGGCGATCGACGGCTCAAGGCTTTTTCTTAAGGCCTCTCTCTCTTATGCTTTAATGCCACCAAGAGTAACTTAGCCTGGGTAGCACTTCCTATCACACGTATGTACCTGTGCTTTGTTATCAACGGAGTACATAGAGTTCCCGGGCTCGAACACGTTGACCCCAGGCTTTCTTATCCTTTGTGTGCATTTACGTACAGCCACCACTACTTTACCTGGGCTGGCTGACTGCTTGACAGGGAGCGGTTTCCTGGTACGTACAGAAGGTGTCTCCAAACTGTCCCGAAAAAGGTCGTAAAATGTACATGTAATGTGCCTTTTCTCTGCCACATTTTCCGCTCTCCTACTGGCGGCACAATTTCTCAACTTAGGGCTGAGTTGGGTGTGGTCTAACCTCATCCGAATCCAGCTGTGTGATATTGATTGTTGCACATGGGGCCACAAAGCGGGTGGTGTAGCTGGTATGTGTGGAACCCCAGAACATGTAAGAGAACGAGAAGATAAATTACATATAGCAGGATACCTATGCCTGCTCGCAGAGGTATTCGGCAGAGTACCTAGATAGCAGTCAGTACTACTATGAAGTAGGTATGTAGCTGTAAGTGCCTACATCGAAAACACTGCCTTGCGCTACCCAAAATCTCCCATTGTTGTCTATTTACGGAAGCATCGAGAGGCTTATTTTGTGCACCATGGTAGGCCAGGGCGCTGCACTTCGACTTCCCCTCACTCAAAACGGTCCCAGTGATCAGCCGCACGTGCGGCTGGAAGTTCTCGCCAAGACGGCAATAGAAATACCAGCTCTTTTCCAACAACCTTCTTGGTAATACCTGTCTGCTACTCAACTTCAAATCAAGCTGGAGTAGAGTTCGAGCAAGCCTCTCTTAAAGACTTCTCTTGGTTCCTACTCGTCTCATCTTTTACGTCTTCTTTTACCTGGCTTCTGACTTCCAGTTCGCCAGTTGCAGCTAGCTTGTTTGTGCTTCCTTGCTCAAACACGCAGAGTCGATCAGGCAGAAACTGAGGTTTCAGGTAACTTTAATTTAAGCCAAACCCGCGTCTAGAGAAACAATCCGTGCTTAGGGAATACTGGTAGATTTCAACAAGAAGAAGAGGAAGAAGTAGCAGCAGAGATAGAAGGAAGAACAGAAAGGGTGTTGCTTGCAGGCTACTTGAGGTATGTATATGTTTTTTTTTTGTCTCGTATCTCTTCTTCTACTTAGCCCTGGGGGTGTAAGCCTTGTCGCGCAGGCGTCGTCACCCGTCGTCGTGGGCTTTCTGCGATATGTCATTGCCCAGAGAATTCCATAAACTCCGATCAAAGAAGAAGGCGGATTTGATGAAGAGTGGTGATAGAATGAATACATTTGCTAAGATACCATCGTAAACAGTGAACATCTTCGGCATCGGCACCGTAGCTTTTATATCTTTTATTTTATTTTTTATTGGCCTATAGAGCCTGCCTCATTACACCTTGCATACCTGAAATCGCCAGGATCAGGGGAATAGTTCGAGATACTATCCAGTGAGCAAACAGCAGCTCGCATCGTCGTTACTATTGCTCCACCACCCTGCCCAGAAACAGAAATAAAGGGTGTGAAAAGTAAATACCAATCGAAAAGAAACATAGGCTCATTTTACGTGCCCCAAGACATTAGAGTCGCAATCAATTTACCTATCGCGCGTAATTTTAACATAGGGTTGGCAAGACGCAAGCGCAACACCCCCACACCGCCCCTCGCAGATCCCTTTTTTCGCAGTCGCAGACTTACATAGAAAGCTCGCCGCGCGCCCATTCCCATGGCTAATAACAGTAACGACTTTTACTCGCGTCTTGACTTCCCCCATCCTCCCGCGCACGAGGATTCTTCAGACGACGAAACCGGCCCCCTTGCTCAACCTCCAGTACCACCACATCAGCAACCCTACGATCCTCATTATCAACCTCCTGTACCGATGGATCATAGAACTCCATCACCGGCTCATCCACTTGCTGGGTATCAGCAAGGTGGTGAGATGCCGTATAGACCTCAAAGGCAGAACACGGGAGGGTATCCTGCTGCAGGAGCTGCTATGCCAGATTGGCCTGATGATGGGAATAGGCTTATGGCTCAACCTACCGTGAGTTTTAGTGTCTTTTTTGTGTATCATAGCTTTCTGTCGTGATACCTTTTTCTCTTTCTTTTTGCAGCTCTGACTTGGTGCATGGCGGCCACTACAGTATTCGGTATCAAACCTATCTCACTCATACGACCAAGCTCCCCCCCTCCCCCCTCACGAACACATCGTCAATCCGTGGGCGCGGGCGCTGCACCACCATATTCTCACCCGTTCTACCCAGCCGACCACCCAGATAACAATTATTCCCCTGATCCATATCAGCCACATACGCCCGAAGACGGATATCCTTTAACGCACTACAACACCCAACCAGCTCCCTACGCCGACGACGATGACAGACGGCCGATTCTGGACCCGCACTCGCAACTGAATACCCCTCTACAGGGACATAATGACCCATACTTCCCGCAAAGCACTCCGTCGCCTGTTGGATCAACGCCAACTCCCGGACCTGGTTTGCGCAGATGGAAAACTGTAAAGAAAGTAGAGCTCTTTAACGGGAACTTGGTCCTGGATTGCCCAGTACCGAAGAAGCTACTGGCAATGCTGCCTCAGAAGAAAGAGCGTGAGTTCACTCACATGAGATACACAGCGGCGACCTGCGATCCTTCAGACTTCGTTGAAAAGAAATTCACGCTCCGCCAGCAACTCTTCCAGAAGCCGAGGCATACTGAGCTGTTCATTGTAGTAACCATGTATAACGAGGATGAAGTCCTGTTTTCAAGGACCATGGCTGGTGTATTCAAGAACATCGCATACCTATGTTCTCGCACCCGTTCCCCAACCTGGGGTGCAGACGCTTGGAAGAAGGTTGTTGTCTGTGTCGTGAGCGACGGACGTGGTAAAATCAACCCTAGAACTAGAAGCGTTCTAGCTGGTATGGGCTGTTATCAGGAGGGGATCGCAAAGACAAGGGTCAACGAAGATGATGTGACGGCGCATATCTACGAATATACTACTCAGGTTGGTATTGAGCTCGACAACAAGGACATGGTGAGGCTTAGCGCTACCGGCAAGAACGCCGTTCCGGTGCAGATGATCTTCTGCTTGAAGGAGCGTAACCAGAAAAAGATCAACTCCCATCGTTGGTTTTTCCAGGCATTCGGACGAGTTTTGGACCCGAATGTATGCGTACTCATTGACGCCGGAACGAAACCGGGCGGGACGAGTATCTACCATTTGTGGAAAGCATTTGACATCAACCCGCAGTGCGCCGGAGCATGTGGGGAGATCAAGGCAATGTTGGGGCCCGGAGGACGATACCTCCTGAACCCCCTTGTAGCGACTCAGAACTTTGAGTACAAAATGTCCAACATTCTTGACAAGCCACTTGAGAGTGTATTCGGGTTTATTTCCGTGCTCCCTGGTGCGTTCTCGGCGTACCGGTATACCGCATTGCAGAACGATCTTAGCGGACAGGGCCCATTGGAGAAGTACTTTAAGGGAGAAAAGATGCATGGTAGTGATGCAGGCATTTTTACGGCGAATATGTACTTGGCCGAGGATCGTATCCTGTGTTTCGAGCTCGTGTCGAAGCGAAATTGCAACTGGGTGCTGCAGTATGTCAAGAGTTCGTCTGCCGAGACGGATGTGCCGGATGAAATGAGTGAGCTGATTCTTCAGCGAAGAAGATGGCTGAACGGAAGTTTCTTCGCGGCGATTTATGCATTGGCGCATACATTCGATATTTGGCGGAGTAGCCACTCCATGATGAGGAAAATGGCTTTCTTGGTCGAGTTCTTTTACCAGACTGTTTCTATGCTGTTTTCGTGGTTCGCTATTGTATGTTCCCCCCTTTAGCTTTCAGGAGGCTGCGTACATGGACACTGACTTTAGGGTGAATAGGGCAATTTCTTCTTGGTATTCAGAATTTTAACAGTTGCTTTGGCCGAACCTGCGTTGGGTTTCACGCCAGGGAGATATCTCAGTATTATTTTCGAATGGCTGTACCTGGGAACATTACTTACATGCTTTGTCCTGTCACTTGGAAATACACCAGGTGGTACGAAGAAGCTGTACATGACAATGGTTGTCTTCTGGGCTATTATCATGTTGTATGTTTCCCGCGAGTTCCATAATTTGGGAAACACTAATAATAATTTATTTATAGGTATCTTCTGTTTGCGGCCGTGTTTATCTCAGTCAAATCTGTGATGTCAGAGCTGGCCCAAAATAACGGGAACTTTGCCTTCAGCAGTCTCTTCTCGAACCAGCTTTTTAGAGATTTATTGGTCTCGTTATGTTCGACCTATATCCTCTATTTTGTAGCCTCTTTCATGTTTTTTGAGCCATGGCACATGTTCACAAGTGTATGTCCCCGATCCTATAACACTGCATATTTCATTGATCCTAACATTATGATTCAGTTCATTCAATATCTCCTGCTCTCACCCTCGTATATCAATGTCCTCAACGTCTATGCCTTCTGCAACACACACGACATTTCTTGGGGTACTAAAGGTCCCGACGTTCCCCCACCCATCAAGGGCGGAACTGTCACCACTGTCGACGGCAAGGCCGACATGAATGTGCCCACTGATGATAAGGATCTCGACGAGCAATACGAATCTGAGTTGCGATCTCTTGCCATTAAGCCCGAAAAGGAAATCGAGAAGCCCAGCGAAACGCAGAAACAGAAGGATTACTACGCAGGTTTCAGATCGTGTGTCGTGCTTGTGTGGATGTTTACAAATTTTGCGCTTGCTGCTGGGATCCTGAACTCTGCTGGGTTGGACCGTATGACGGATAACGATGCCGCTGTGGAATCAGAGAGGAGTAAGGTGTATCTGGCGGTCGTGCTGTGGAGTGTGGCGGGGTTGTCGGCGTTTAGGTTCTTGGGGTGTAGTTGGTTCTTGATTTTGAGGCTGGTGAGTTTATGGCCCCCGTACCCCTGTAGCTCGCTGTGGAGAAGTTCCGATTCGCTGACTTTAATAATTAGTTCCGTGGTGTTTAAGGTCGATCCGATTAGTCCTAAATGCAAAGACGCGTGGCATTATTGTTTTTATGTTTCCTCTATTCAAATAACATGGCAGTATTCCCGAGGTTTTCTTTGGCCACACTGGTCGTCGGTGGCGGAAACAGAGAGGGCCGATGCTTTTTCTTCTTTTTCTTTTCTGCCCTTTCTTTCTGCCCATTTCTTTGTGTAAAATGACCTCTCTGTTTCTTTTTTCATGCGGTACCACCACTAGTACTACTTCTCTATGATTGTGTATATGTTGAACGAGATACCTAACCCGTACAAATGTACTATTTCCTTTTTTTTTCTTTTCTATGCTTAAAAGATACGACTCTTTGCTTTTTTGTTTGCGGTTTACATTCTGGAGTGGAAAGGGTCGATAGAAAATATTATTATTCTTATCCGAGCTGTGTACGTTGAATCTATCCGGGTGGCTGTGCATTTTATCCCCATAGATAGTCGGAGGTTGGCGTTGCCGTCGTCGTAAGCTTAAATCGAGTGCTCTGCTCTAGCATGCGCGGTGTTGATCATTGGCCTTGGCGGATGTAGATCTCGGTCTATTTCTAGTAACATTCAGAATGCGCAGTAGAGTACAATAGCTAGCAGTGGTTCGGCGGCCGCACCGAAGGCACTGCATGATATCTGTAGGGTTGGGTGTCAGTATTTAGCTGGCTGGGCTGGCAGGACTACGTACCATCTATCAATCGATATCGTGCAGCGAGACATGTGTGCTCAGGTATTTGGCGGAGTGTATATATATAGACAGGTCTAGAAGAGGTAGGAGCGAAGATATCGTCGCCTTCTGGCTGGGGTGATATAAACTGGCAGCTGGCGCGTGTAGATGCGTCCTCGGGGTCTGTAGGAAGGCGAGGGGACCACTACGGGCGAAAAAAGGCGTGGTCGTGGATGTACCACGTGGTATACGTAACTATTTCGGTGGTGCTTGCGGTGCGTTGGATGGGAAGCTCGAGGTTGAATCGAAAATTTCCAGCCAATAGTGGTGGATAGCGGGGCAATATGTTCTGGCTAGAATTAACTATGTACATGTATATATACTTATTTGCATGCGTGGTTTAACCTACGCTGACGTTGTCTTAATTCCCAGCGAGTGATTCTGGGCAATATATATATAAAACAGATAAAGCGTAATGGGAATATAATACACCTGTCCCTTGTAGCCTAAAGACGGGCGGGAAAGGATAAGACTTTATGACGGTCCATGATCGAACGTTGTCGGCTGTTGTGAATACGATCCACAGGGCCAAGGAATCTCGGATATTGCCTTGAAAGGCTTCCTGAAAGTCTTAGGACTGACCTTTTTCAAGACGTTAGGCCAGCCGGGCATTCGTAGTTGCTCTCTAGATTTAGATTAGAGAAGCATTACAACGTGTTGGTAGAGTGGCTGCATTGCTGTCTAGTCCGGGTTATGAAACCGTGAGTGATGGCTTATGACCAAATGTCGGTGCAACTAGCACTATTGCCACCACCACAGGCTTAAACCTAGTGTAGCTATGACTACAGCAACAACAAACAGAGCCACAACATATGCGTTACGACTGCAACCTGGAAGCAGTGAACACCAGTAAGACTGACAACACAGGGATCGCCTTTATCTAGACTCACCAGCAAGAGAGATGGCCCGCTTAAGTAAGGCACAATACGCATCATATCAACATATAGCTCGATCGAGAAAGCATGAGCCTTTACGTGGAAGTACATCTCAGACCTGACGGATCAGTGGGCTTCTTTGTATAGTCAGTTGATCTGACCAGAGTCGGTTGCGTGCTGTGTATAGCTACTAATACTCTACTTGCGGGCCGGGCGCTATACATGTAAATTTACAGTGTATGCGCGCCGAAAGAAGCCAGTGGGTATACCAATGGCAGGATCACGCATCATCACTCGGGTCTTGGCAATTCTCATTTGTTGTCACAAAGCTACATATTAAAGTGGAGATGATTGGTTGATAATACAGTAGTAAGTACTAATTGAACAGAGCGATCAGTAAAGTTAAAGAACTACAACTAATTTGATTAAGAATAAGATGTCTCCCCACATCATTCACACAACCTTCCTTCACTATATAAATATATACAACAAAACAAAGCCGACCCGATACAGAATTTGTAGCACGACTACCAGACCGCGAGGTCCCAACTCAACATAAGGAGCAAGTTCCCCGACGAACGCGGAAAACGCAACAGAGAAACCACGGATTATTTTGTCTCAAGGAGACGAAAGGGATGTCTAGCCCCCTAACTGGGGGCACCAGTTTTAAGGAAGGAAAGAGCAGATCAGCCACATAATGACTTTGTGCAGGTTCCTCTCCCGACCCCCAGCCAGGTCTCCTAAAAGAGCCAGAAGTAGTGGTGGCGAAGACAAAGCTCGGTCTCCCTTACAGGTTTCGTTTGAACCACCACCCCGGGAGGATAGTTCAAAGGTCCACTGGACCTTGAAGAGGCTCCTGGCCCTTAATAAAACAAGCTTAGGATTCTCGGGGCTCTGCCTTACGTTAGTATAACCAAATTATATGGCAAAGAGCGAGTTCAGGAACATACATACAAGGTGTTGTAGCCCACCGTGTCTTGTATGAAGACTACTTGGCCGGAAGACCTGCTCCTTGAGCGTTAACGCTGCTGCTGGAATTCGCCGATATCATTTATTTCCCTATATACTTGATTTTTAGTTACCTAATAGATAAACTCATGTTGAGAACCGGAAATTGGGGGTAACTTACTCCTCTATCCCTCCCAGCTAGGGCGGCACAATTTGCTACTGCTCGGGCAGACCACCACAGTCTGCCTCGGCCATGGAAGAACTCGGTTCTTATTGGTGCCCGGATGCACATAAGGGGCGGAAAGGAAGGGCACAATATATTCCCTGTGATTATAAAATATATTAGTATATGATTCTAAACAAACATCTAACAGAAAAACAGATAACAGTTAATCGTCCAGAAAATGAGGGATAATAAGGACTTACTCTTTCAATGTCAGGCACAAATCCAAAATGTTTCGAGGCTCGAGAACAAGGTAGAGGGTGGGTGGACGATACCTAAAGAAGGGAGGAGGAGGAGGAGAAGAAGGGAGGAGGAGGAGGAGGAGAAGGGAGAAGGAGGAGGAGGAGAAGGGAGAAGGAGGAGGGTGCCCTCGGAAATTTTCTGAGGCCGGGGAAGTCGACGAGGAAAGGGAGATTATCCCTGAAGAAGAGGAGAAGAGGAGAATAGAGGAAGGGAAGAAGAGGAGGAGGAGGAGGAGAATGGAGAGTGGGTAGAGGGCGGAGATATGGATAGCACTGACTATCCTAATAATATAGCAAAAGTCGAGTAGCTCAAGATATGTAGCTGGGCAAGCTTTACAGAGTATGGATAAATATACGAGAAGGAGAGAAGGAGAGAAGGAAAAGCGGGGTTTATATACTCTTCCATGGAAAGTCCGTGCTTCCCTATTCTTTGCCATACAGAACCTCTTGGAACTGGTAATTGCCGATCACACTAGTTTATTTTACTAAGGAAAACAGTAATTGCCAGATATCATCTTACGTACCCACAGAAGGATAAAAGTATAGTAAGCTGGGCCGCACATGCGTAAGAGGTTAAAGTAAACTTTAGTTTGAATTAAATTTTGGAGTCTGAATCTATCCAGGTGTTGCAATCAACAAGTTAATAGATGTTCATCATAAGGATTACTGATTGCTATATTATTTAATGACTACAAAAATTATAGAGAAGTATTGTTGCACTTATATCTGTAACCAATACTAGATACTTAGTGAAAATGAAAATTATGCGAGATTCGACGACGAGATTATTAATTCTGCACAAATACATTGTTTCAATTAAGGTTAGTTCTTGTAGACAGATGTTTATAATTTTCACAGGAGCGGGTGCCTTGTCGAGATCTGTACTCTCTGAACCTCCACAGAAACCTAGAGAAGCAGTTCGAGTGCCGAACTATTTCAGTGGTAGCAATTGCGTCTATGAAAGCTACATGTATAGTACCATATTCGATTCTGACACGTAAGACAGTCCTTCGGGCCGGGTATGGGTATGGTGGCCTTTGAAACCTTATTTCGTCGTGCAAGATCAGTCGGGCTCGAGTTTGACTTAATTAAGACGCCGAACACTAAGATGCCATCACATGCACGCATACTTACATATATACACTTTAGGAGCGAGATCTCCAGAAGGTCTATGGAAGTGTAGAGTAATGTAAAGCGTGTGACGAGAAAGGTGTGTGCGATACTCTTCTATCATTGTTGACTCATCCCAGCCCCAGCAGCCGTGATATCACTCATGAAACTCTAGTATATCATAAAACCTCAGCCCTTCGACTGATGCTATACCCACAGACGATCGAGTATGTCTACTTTCTTATATATCAACTGATTCTCTTTTGATATAGCTCCTCTTACTCCTCGATCTTATCGAACTCACCAGATCATTTTTGGATATCCACTCTACTTAGAAACGTATCTCTCGATTTTTTATCCTCCTACCAATAAGGTCAACCATCAACTATCAAGACCACCACCAATATTCTGGTGCCTTGAGTGATCTTCGCTCCAGTTATGAGCAGCTTTCACCGAGTAAAATACTCATATTATAGTGAGCGGTATGGACATACAATAGCTCGATAAGCGTGTTCTGTGATAAAATATGCCAATCTTTCCAATTCATATGCTAGATAGATCATCGGGCAGGACGAGGCCGAAACCTCTGCTCTTTTCACCCCTCCTCGAGCTTCTGCCTTGAGATCCCGCCATGAATTAAGATTCATTGATTCACCAAGATATTTACTACATGTACTCTATTAGTGCTTTTGGAGTCTGTTGGTTTCACTCTTGTTGAGAGTATCGCTGGATAGCTAGTACATCGAATCATATTAAAGGTGGAACGGTCGTGTGTTCCGCTTCCGTCGAGCGCGGGCCGACGACGCCGCACCGGGGGGGGGGGGGGGTGTAGCGGAGCCGTGGGCGTCTGCAGACTGGGACCCTAT